TTAACTCCGTGTCCTGCCGCCCCGTTCCCGGTGACACCCCCGTTCCCCCCCTGCCCGCCCTGCCGCTACCTGCCGCCATGGCGCGCGCCGCCGGCTCAACCGTCCCGCGCGGCCGCCGCCAATCCGCGCGCGTCACGCGTCACGCGTCACATGACCCCCCCGGCCCCGCCCTCCGCGGCCACCGTCCCGGGGGGCGGGTGTGCGTCTCTCTATGCGTGTCTGTCTGTGCGTGTCTGTCTTTGTGTGTGTCTCTCTGTCTGTCTCTGTGCCTCTGTTTGTGCCTCTGTCAGTGTGTGTGTGTGTCTCTCTTTTTCTGTGTGTGTCTCTCTTTTTCTGTGTGTGTCTCTGTCTGTGTCTCTCTGTGTGTGTGTGTCTCTCTGTGCCTGTCTGCGTGTGTCTGTCTCTGTGCGTGTCTCTCTGTGTCTCTGTCTCTGTGTGTCTCTGTCTGTCTCTGTGCGTGTCTGTGTCTGTGTCTCTGTCTGTGTGTTTCTCTGTCTGTCTCTGTGTCTGTGTGTGCCTCTGTCTGTCTCTTGAGTGTGTCTGTGTGCCTGTGTGTGTGCCTCTGTGTGTGTGTGCCTCTGTCTGTGCCTGTGTGTGTCTCTGTGTGTCTGTCTGTGCCTGTGTGTGTCTCTGTCTCTGTATGTGTCTCTGTGTGTGTGTCTGTCTGTGCGTGTCTGTCCTGTGTGTCTCTGTGTGTCTGTGTGTCTGTCTATATGTGTCTCTCTGTGCGTGTCTCTGTGTCTGTGCGTGTCTGTGTCTATGTGTCTGTCTCTGTGCCTGTGTGTGCCTCTGTCTCTTGAGTGTGCCTGTCTGTGTGTGTGTCTGTGTGTCTCTGTCTGTGTGTGTGTCTATGCGTGTCTGTCTGTGCCTCTGTGTGTGTCTCTGCCTCTGTGTGTCTCTGTGTGTCTGTCTTTGTGTCTCTGTGTGTGTGTCTCTGTGTCTGTGTGTGCCTCTGTCTGTCTCTTGAGTGTGTCTGTCTTTGTGTGTCTCTGTGTGTCTGTCTGTGCCTGTGTGTGTGTCTCTGTGTCTCTGTGTGTGTGTGTCTCTCTCTGTCTGTCTCTGTGTGTGCATTCCTGTGTGTCTCTCTTTGTCTGTCTCTTGAGTGTGTCTGTGTGTCTGTCTGTGCCTGTGTGTGCCTCTGTCTGTCTGCGTGTCTCTCTGTCTGTGTGTCTGTGTGTGTGTCTTCCCGGGGGGTGTTCCGCCACTCCTGGTGGGTTGGGCCGGCGATGGGGATAGAAGTGGAGACGAGCCCTCGGTGGGAGCAGGGGGGTTTATGTGTAAGGGGGGTTGGGGGTGGGGAGGGGTCCCGTAGCGGTGGGGGGGTCCCGGTGGGGGGGCTCAGAAGGCCGGGTTGCCGAAGCCGAGCCGCTGCTGGGTGGCCTGGATCTCCCGCAGCAAGGCATCGTTCCTCAGGCCCAGCTGCAGGGGAGAGCGGGGAGGGGGGGTCAGGCAAGGCCAAGGGCACCCCAACACACACCCCCACCCCCGAGTAGGGGCTGCCCCCCACCGACCCCCCCCCTACGGGAACAGAAAAGGGCATTTCCGTGCTCT